CCTCATGGAACAGAGCCCACTTCTACCACAAATGAAATCTCTGGCGGGATGGAGTGTGGCTGATGTCTAGACAGCTGTAATGTGCTCTCCATGGGCAGGTCCACTGGCATCTCATGGAAGCTCCAGCTTGAACAGAAGGTGGGGTCTGCAAGCTGCGGAGCACACCACCCAGGCTGGAGTGGCCCCAGGAAGGAGTCACCCCTTTTCCCCAGCTCCTTGCTTTCTCTGTACCACCCAAAAAAGCACATCTGTACGGGGTGTTCTGTCCCCAGCACGCCCATGACATGTGGAGGTAACACCTGGCATCTTGCACGCACACAACCTCTTGGGGTTCCTTCCCTCCTTGATCTACCTGACCCCAGATGTGTCGACTGCTGGCAAACCATGGTCTGTTAACCCCCCTAAACCTCCTGTCTCAGGAGCATCTCTGGAGTCCTGGGCTAAAACCCACTGAACCCAGGGGGAGTGTTTGAGGGGATGTCACTGGCTCAGGGTCCAGCACTGGGGTGCTGAGGAGAGATATCCTACCTGTGCACCGCCCCTTGCACAGGGTGTCCTCAAACACAGCCTCTATGCTGCAGACTAGAAGGCAGATAAATGAGAAGATTTATAAAATAGAGGGTTTATAACCTTCTGGGGGAGCCAAGAGTGTTTTTTAAATTGTGATGGAATAGGTCCATGGACAAAATACCACCTGGAACACGCTGACTAGTAATGTACCTACCAGCACATCCCAGCCTTCAGGACATCCAAGCAAATTAAGGCTACCTCCACCGGGAGGGCAGTAAAGGGCTCTCACACCTCTCCCCTCTCCGCCGCCGATGGCTATCACTGCTCGTTGCCCCGCAGGACAGCAGTAGCTGGGGACAAATTAAACCAAAAATCCCATGGCTGTGAAATACAAATAAGGCAAAAAATGCCTTCACCCAACCAAGAGAGCTCTGTCTCCCCAACTGCGCCGGATACACAGATCATGAACAAACAGGATAGAATGTCTTCTGCCTTTTGTGAAATGAAAATAAATGAAAGGATCTAAGGTTTCAGGTCACTGATCTCTCTCTTCCCTATCTGTACCATTTATCAGAGGTAGAATATAAAGGTTCCAGGTCCTTTTCTTTTTTTTGTCAGCACTTTAATGGTTGTTTTTTCCCCCTTCCCCCTTTCATTTTCTGAATGAAAGGACCACTTAGGAACCTGTAAAGTAATAATAAGCTTATAACAGGAATATTGTTTTTCTGGGCCAGTGCAAACTCCTGCTGAATAGGTTGAAGAGATTAAAGTAAAAATGCAATCTGTAAATAGATCAGTCTTTTAATTAGTTTATAGTCTGTTAAGAGATAATATTTTGCTCACATAGATCCTCTATTATCTAAAGATCTCAGAGCACTTTAGGAACATCAATTAAGCCTTTAAAAAAAAACAACCTTGGGAGATAGGTAAGTGTATTTAGATTAATTAGTGTTGCTGTGAGCAGCAGGCATTATTATTAGATTTAATTTAGTCCAATAATTGACTTATCTGTTGATGGATTCTAATTCATCTGAGAAGGGATCAAATCCATCTGATTAAAAGGATTACATCGATTCAATTAATTCTATTAACTGACTTAATTTGCCATTTAATAATCTGACACACGGGGCCAGATCTTGATCCCAAAGAATGCATGAACCAAAAATTACACATCGGAATTATTATGCCAGCAAACCCATACATTACAGAGCATGTATTTTTCCTTGCACATGGCATTTGCACACCTGGATAAAACATTCAAGGGGGATTCCTCCAGCCCTGCAGCATCGTTCCTCCCTGAGCCAGGGCTGGCTGCTCATTCTGCCGTACTCGTGGTGGCTGCTTGGAAAGGAGCAATTCCCTGCCTGAGATCTGCCCCCTCCCTTCTTTTCTGGGCACTCTCTGCAATCAAGAGGTGAGAAGTTTTACATTAGTCAATAAAACCTTGTAATAAAAGTAACTTCCCTTCAAAGGCAGGACATCCCTCCCATGCCAGCCATTTGGAAGTTAGGTATGTGAAAAAAAAAAAAAAAGACAAAGAAAAAAAGCATCTCTTCACTTGGACACTGTTCTTTAACTAGTTGTGAATGTATGGGAAGAGAGGGGAAAGAGGTGCTAAAACGTTATTAGCTCCCCTATCCTTAAAACTGGCTAGTGCTAATGGCTGGTGATGAGCATTATGGACCTGACAGAGTTCCCCAGGAGAACCCTGAGCCTGTGTGGCCCTCGCCTGATGTTATCTTCTCTTAATGGGACTGAGTTGTTGAGAGAATTCAGGGCTGGAGCCAGCTCACGGGCACCTTTTCTCACATCTCTTGCCTTTTCTCAGACATTGGCTCTTGCCTGTCCTCCCAAAGCCTTCCCCAAGCCGTAATCCTTAGGCCATCAACCCACAGCACCCCCACCATCGCCTCCCCGCCAGGAGGGACAGGGGTCAGGCAGTGCAGAAGCCGCGGGAGCTGCACTGTCTGCAAGGACGATGCAACCCAGGAGGCAGTGGGTACCCCCGGAGTGAGGCCTGGCTCTGGCACACCGTGCCAGCAGGGAGGCAGACAGAGAGGGAAGGAGAGGAAAAGAACAAGGAGGACACACAGCCGTCTGCTGCACGGGAGGAGAGGTGTCCTCCTCCAGATGCAGACCCGACGGGCAAGACGGAGATGTGGATCAAAAGTTTGCGACTTGAGATCCCCAGACCCCGTTTAAGCCTCTCTCTGGTCTTGATCAAAGGTTACTCCATAATAATGCCTCGGGGGGAGGGGTTCCTGGCACATAATGAACCCTGTGTCATTGCCTTTGTGTCCAGGTTTGGCTGTAACACAGATGGTTCTCACTCCAGTAACTCCGACATCTCTCCCCTCCATTATCCCAGAGAGGAGCTCTGCGTGGTCACATCCTGGACCGCCGTGTCCCACCTCACTGTCTCCCCGATTATCATGCTCTGAGTGTTCCCGTGCCAAGCAGGTCGATGAGCGGATTACCATAACCTTTCAGCAGGGCTAGGGACGAGAAGGCTTCGCAGCCTGACGCCTCAGGGAGTTTGATGAGGAGGCGCGGGGAGGGAGCCGGGGCTGGTGTCGGCAAACAGCCCCCAAGGCCGGAGCACTCCGGGCTGTTCGAAGGACGCCAGCAACCAGGAGCGGCGGGGGGCTTTGGTGGCGAGCAGGGATGCAGGCAGCAGGAGCTCCCCAGACGGGAAATCTCAGGCTCTGCCGTGGTGCAGCATCGCCATCGGTCACGAGCACGCTCCTGCGCGCCGATTTGTTGTTCAGACACGATTGCATATGTATGAAGGGGACAAGATGGGCTTTGACACATAAATTAGCACTTGTCAGCTGCTCCCGGGCACACTTCCCTGCTGCACCCACTGTAAATGCCGCCTTCTTTCACGAAGAGGAAAACTCCATCACGGCACCTGACAGCCACCGCGGGCAGGAGCCTTGCCGGGCGGCAGCAGCAGCACCCAGCGATTCGTTTACATATCAAACCTTATGAGAATGAATGCAATAAAGTGACACAATAATTAGCAGCCAAGTGGCACTTTCCCTTCCTGTTTTATCTGGAAATTTGGGAATGACAAAGGACAAGGTTGATGAGATCTCAGGGCAGGGCTTTCCCTGAGAGATGGGGTGACTCCACACAAGGGCCGTGGGGGTTCACTTCAGCCAGGTGCTCTCTGGTTGTCACGTCCTGTGACACAGCTCACGCTGCTCCTCTGCCTCAGCAGTGGCCAGAGCTCCCCTCTGTGCTCAGCACAGCCTGTGCCTCATCAGGCCTGAAGCTTCCTGAGGGATAAAACCGTTCCCAGATTCTGCACTCCACCTCACCAGTGCTGCATATGAAAGCAATCTCACATGAATGGTCACAGAATCACAGAATATGCTGAGTTGAAAGGGACCCATAAGGATTGTGGAGTCCAACTCCTGGTCCTGCACAGGCCCATCCCCAACAGTCACCCCCTGTGCCCCAGAGGATCAGCCAAACCCTCCTGGAGCTCTGGCAGCCTTGGGGCTGTGCCCACTACCCTGGGGAGCCTGGGCAGTGCCCAACCAGCCTCTGGGGGAAGAACCTTTGCCTGAGATCAAACCTGAGCCTGCCCTGACACAGCTCCAGCCATTCCCTGGCTGCTGTCCCTGGTCCCCCCCAGAGCAGAGCTCAGTCCCTGCCCCTCCTCTGCCCCTCGGGAGGAAGTTGGAACTGCACTGAGGTCTCCCCTCAGTCTCCTCCTCTCCAGCTGAACACATAAACGTGCACACCCCCCTCTGCAGCAATACATGAACATGTGGGGCTGTACATCCCAAAGAGAAACAGGACGAGTGTTCTGAACAGCCCTAAAATCCTCACAACAACCAACGTGAGCAAAAGCATCTCAACCACAACCATCTCAAAACACACCAGAAGTACAGACTTTTTTGTCACTCGGTCTCAAGCAGCATTTCCAGCATGTTGCTTGTGTGCAAATCACAATGAGAAGAGTTGAAGGCGCTGCTAGCACCTGTATTTGTTTTCCTGTAAGATCCACATGCCCAGAGATTCAACTTGAGCTCTCTCAAAGCTCCCAAGGACTGCTTCATTTCAGTTCAAACCAAATATCCCTCCACCTGAAAACACGAGAGTGCTTCACTGAAGTACTGAGTTTGCCCAAACTCGAGCCCAAAGTTCATGGGGAAAGGACTTCTGCAATCACCAATTTGGGTATCATTTATGAATTGCAGAAGATACACCCTAACCCATCCCTTGAGCAGAAAAAGATTTTTCTCTTCAAGCACCATCATACACTAATAAACTGGAGCAGGCAGTACTTTGGGAACTGCCTGCAGCTGAGAGGCAGCTCCAACAGAACAAACCTCATGTTCTTATTCTGGAAAGGGTTTTTTTCCTTTTATTCTGCTTTTTATTGCTCTTATTATTTTTCTCTCAAGAGGTTCTTTGCACAACATGCTGGATTAAAGCCTTTGACCTTCAATCTGGGGGATGCCAGTAAATATTCTTACCATATTTATCTCCGTCTTCTCCTTTGGCACTGATCCTCCTGCCGAGCACTTGGATGTGCTTCCCGCTTGTCCTGCTGTAGAGCTGATAGAGCCGAAGCTGCTTCCTGCTTACATCGTCCCTCGCTCGCGTCTGGTTCTCCACGTGTATCCGAAAATCCACATTCTCCTCGGCAGCAAACATCTGAGAGGGATGGGTTGTTGGGAGAGAGAAAAGAACAGACCATGAACACAACAAGCCTCTTGGACAGGACTGCACACCAACCTGCCAAGGGGCACGTGGTGCCGAGGACTCAGATTTGGCTGCCCTTCACTTGACAGCCGTGGCCACGGTATCAGGCGCTCAGCGTGTAACTCTACCCAGAGCTGGCTCTCAACAGTAAACCAAACTTGGGGTTTTGCAATCAAACGGGGGTTTTTTTGAATAAAAACTTCTGTCTGGCCCTGCATTGATTTAATCCTGGTCAGCCATGCTGGCCATAAATTAGGCTCTCCATTGCATATGCAAAACCTCTACCAGGTTACATGGACTCGGACGGGAGAATGGGGATGGACAACCCCATCTCAGGGATTTGGTGCATCACCCTCAGCATCTGCACTGATTCCCCAGATTAGCTCCAGGGAGGAGTCAAAGGAAAAACTATCTGTGCTGCCCTTAGCAGACTGGGTTTGAGCTTTGCACAGGCACGAAATCTACTGCAATAAAAGTGTCACAGGCACTCTTCAGCTTAACTGTTTCACCAGCTCTGCCCTTCAGTGAAGCCAGCTCACTGGTGATCGTCTGTGAATGCATTTCTGTCCACCTCAACTGGACCACGGCTTGGGGAGAGATCATAAGGAGTGGTGAGAGTCATGTGCAACTGCACACCATGATCAGCAGGGGTGTGATTGCCTCAGCCACCTCATCTGTCTCTTCTGGCCAATGCAGTAAATTAACCTTAGTTCACTACAGCCTTAAAATATTACCAGAAACTTTTTGTTTAGTTTCCTATCTTAACTATTCTCAAAAACCACCAAAACAGGATTCCCGCTTTTGCTTCCATGAGTCATCCTGACTTGCCCAAGGTCCAAGTACCTGACAGCACAGATGTTCTCAAGATGCCCTCCCAAAGGGGAGCCTGGGCAGCATGCACCCTAAAGCACTTCACACCCAAACAGTATGAAAGCCCAAAAATTGCTCCATGATCTGTCCATCTGTGATCTGTGGAGCATCTGCACCATAACATCCACGCTGCCCACTCCAAACTCACAGATGGACAACATTTTGGTAGCAGACTCCCTTCACAGGACAATAAATCATTTAGAAACATGGGACTCTTGTCCTCCTGTTGGCCTGCAAGCAAGTGTTCTAATGTATCAGTGTGGGGAGGGAGCAGACGATGCAAATGAAAAAGGCCAATAAATCCTTCTTCAGATCCATTCCAGACTAAAACACATAAGAGCAAGTGGCCACAACACATGAAACAGCCCCACTTCAGCCTCCTGCATATATCATCTCATACCAGCAAATACTTCGAAGTCATACACTCCCTGAAAGTCAAAACCTCAAAAGAACTTTTCAATTATCAAGGGGACAACCAGGCCTGCAGCGGGAGGAAAACTTCAGGCCGGCAGTGCTGCTCAGCACCAGACCTTCACTAAGCAACCTGAACCAAAACACCACGTTCAGCACAGTGGCCGCAGCAATGAGGTTCACAGTGATGTTGCACGATTGCCTTTGGTGCCGTTACTAAATGCTTGGATTCTGCTATTTGAATTTTTGGAGGGAAAGTGATTTAACTCTTTTTTGCTGTCAGAAGCCCGTAGGGAGCTGAAGGCATGGGCACAGGCTGGGCAAAGGGAGGCTCAGGGTGATGCCAGGTCTAAACAGACATTCATGGAGTTGACAGAAGTTACAAGGGTTACAATATTTCCCACTGTCAGAAAATAGCACAGCCAGAAGCTGTGACCCAACGCTGAGGATGTGAGAGGAGAAGCAGCTATGGCACCTGCCCAGAAGGCACGGTAGGATGGCACAGTGGGATGCTGACAGAGTTCTTTCAGCATGGAGCTGAGTTCTGCTCGCTCCGCTCTCTCCAGGCACCATGGCAAGCAGGACTTGGCTTTTGACAGAAATAATATTAATGTCTTTTTTTTCCTTCCTACATGTCTTCTTGCTTTCTTTTCAAATGCCATTGTTGCAAGGGATGTTAAACTACCAAGCCCAGAGATGTTCCAATCATGCTGACAGTCTGCCTCATGCCCACAAAGCAAGACTATTTGCAGTTAAAATTCTGGCTCCGTCATTTTAAGATTTAAAACAGATTTTAAATCAAGATGACGTCGTTACATTGCTTTCACCACATGTTAATGAATTTCACATTTTTCTAGGAAAAAACCAAAACAGGTGGGATCTGAAGTGGGGGGAAGGGCATGTTGCTTTGCTTTCTTAGAAACTCCCAACAGAAAAGGCAATCTGTTTTCGAAAACATGTTTTAATTCTCTTCTAATTGTCTCGGGAGCACTCACACTGCAGAGGCCCCAGCCCGCAGCTGCAGTGCCTGGGTGGACTGGGGAGCACCCACGGAGCATCCTGCACTGTGCTCAGCCCCACACGCATCTCCAACACTCCTACGCATGTTTGTCACCACTGTCCTGCCTGAGAGCAGCTATTTAAGCTTTGCAAGAAGGGCACATCCCCCTGGCAGCGCAGGGGGATGACATCTCCTCCTCCCCAGCCGTGGCTGGCACCACCCACAGCCCATCACTTCATCCAAGCCCAGCAGCAGCTTGATGCAGGAATCAGCAGGTGACACTGACCCCCGAAATACAGTCAGCCCAAGTGTGTATCAGTCCATCACTTCTCCAGCAACAGGCCCAGCTCTGACCTAGGCAAAGAAATCCTGGAAGAAGAACGCACTTACAGGTTCCCCTCGCAGCTGACCTGTCCCCTGGCCAAGAAGCTGTGGTCCACAGCAGCAGTGAAACCACCCGGATTTAGCTGCCTGTTTAAAGATAAACTCATGATTAACCACTCTGTGGAAACAGGATGCTCTGCTGGAGTGTGGCCAAGGGGAATTAGCTGTGCCAGCCTGGGCTGCATCTGGCCTGCAGCAGAGAGCATCAATACCCGAAAACAAAATTTCATGCAGTGGTGATTTCATGAGACAAAACCTATTTGATCACTGCTGAAATCCACTCTCGCAGGATCCCTGCCCTACAGAGCACACTCCCTCAAGCAGCGAACTTCTCTGAGATAAAAAGGTCCATTTATATATACACCATAAGAGAGACTCTCTTCCCTAAATCTCAAAAAAATTAGGAACATATGTCTCCTTCAGCAACTGATCACCAACACTCAGTCAAGAAGGTCACCTAAAACCAAGTACATCCACCCCCAAATATATTTCCATAACAATCATAAAAACAAATGCAGAAATGCCTTTAAGTCCCTTAAACTTAAGGGCTTTCACTCCTGTTCACCAAAGCAAAAGGATTTTTTTTTCCTTTTTTTTTTACTGTTGATATGTTGTGCTGCTTATAGAGATATCATACACAAAGGGTGTCTTTTTTTGACCTTTCAATCTGATCATCCACGTGTCCACGCAGCAGGCAGCAAAACCCACAGACTGGATCCAGAGTTGCACACACCAGATTGCTGAAGGGAACAGTTGCTTGCACCTTCTGCCTCCTGACCAGCACCACGCCCTGTGGGACATTCTCCAGGGACAGGAGGCAGGACTCCCCCAGCATTTTGGTGGGATCTGAAGTTGTATTATGGTCTGGTTTGCATCTATGCAACTGGCATGGGTCTCTGTCTATGCACAACAACTTCAACGTCTCAGGATAGTGGTTTCACATAACTCCATCTCATTCTTTGGCAACAGATCTGCAAAATCCCAGTCGTTAAATCAGAGCATCAAATTTGGTTTAATTTTCACTCTTGCTCTCTTTCTGTTTTCCATCAGTTCCTTATCCATTTATTAGTTATTTGTCACTACACCTTTCAGTGATAATATACAGCTACAAAGACATCCTAAAAACACACTTGGCAATACAGAGCTTATGCAAGAGAATAAACAGCATTCCTTTAAAAAACAACTATCACCTCAAGCCACTGATGCATCAGAAACACCTCACACCTGAAAAGAAGCAGCTCTCCCTCCTCTGTTGTCCTTGTCCAATCATTCAAGGTAGGTGCATTTAGTCCTACCTCCTTTCCAAACAGCCACCAGAAGCAGAAACGACATCTGTCTTCAGCAAGTCCACATGGGAGATTTTCCAGTGATTTTTTGCCAAATGATTCTTACACAATGAGTAGTTTCATTTTAAATGGCTTTACAACAATCCTTCAGCTTAAAGAATGACTCCCCTATTTGTTAAATCCCAGACACAGGGTGAGGGAAAGACCATTTTGCTGATGCCACCCAAGGTTTTACCACACAGCAATCCAAGAAAAGCCTCCGACAGCAGTGGTGTCAGTCCCGCACAGGCTGTGCCCCATCTCCGCACTCGTGGATGCCTCGTGTGAACAGAGAGCAAGCCCAGCCCCACCAAGGTCAATGAAATCCCCACTGTGCCAAGCCACATTCACAGGATTTGGCTTTCCACCCAATCAACCTCCATGCACTTAGGATTTTCTACTTTGAGCTTTCCAGTAACAGGGGATGTTAATCTGTTGTTGTTCATGTCATAAAGCATTACAGCATGAGATGTCCAAGGCCCACAACATGGCCAAGTTAGCTGGGAGCTGGACTTCAGAATTTCCTGATGTTTTTGCTATTTATGCTACGGAGCCTCCAAGCCTCAATAGAGAGCAAACCATTTGTTATTCCCCCAGCTGAATCAGGAATACAAAATCCCTCTCGCTAAGGGCCGTACCGATTGCAAAAGATAAACAAATCATGCTATTCAAAGTCCTCTCAAACCCCATCTGATAAGCAGGAAATACTTATTACCTTTCAGCCATCAAATCAACCCAATATTAATGATTTTCTCCATGACCTTCTAAACACATGAAAGTCAACTTGATAAGGTCAACAAGAGGATATCCAAGACAGATCTTTCTCAAGTCCTCAAAGGCAAGTAACAAACCACTTTGCTTCCATGACTTTGGCAAAATTCCTGTATGCCAATTACAGAAGGGTTTGCTAGCTCACCATGACAGCCATCCTCAGCATACAGTGAAACACAATGCACTCCTTA